ACTAATAGAAGAAACTACTTAAAGTTGTCAGGGGTTATTTGCTTTTTATTGTCTTAAGTATGTAATCACAGATTTTCTACTTATTTTCTACCATGTTATAGCATTAGTAACTGTTTTATTAAGCTACTTGTATGTGTGTGTTTTGTTTTTGTTTTTTGTAAACAAAACAGTCATTAAACAGGAAAACATAAAGTAAAAACTCTCCTTTCCAAGAAAAAAGAAATAATCTTCTTGCACACTCAGTCCTACAAAATAAGACTGACTTCTTTTCAGTCAGTTTTTGTTCTGTTGCTGGATGCTTTATGAGCAATGAATATATTGGACAACTTTAGACAGCATCTGTTAGTTCTCCAATATGAAGGATGGGGAATTTTGTATTTTTAATAGTAATCTTCTCCTTCTACCTCCTGGTATCTGTTTGCCATGTTAATATTTAATGTTGTCAGTCTAGAGAATACTTTATTACATTAAACCTCTATTTCTTGAATTATCAAATGTGTACTATCCATTGATTACCTACTATGAAAGACAAGGAAAGTGGTTTACTTTCTATTTTTAGCCCCTGTATTATTTGTTATGATTTTTAAAAATATTCATTTAGGCAATTATTTATATAAGTTAAATCTTTGCATTTTCCTGAGATGAGTTCCACTTTTTATCCCTTTCTACTTTTTTTTTTTTTGAGACAGATTCTCCCTTTGCCGCCTAGGCTGGTGTACAGTGGTGCAATCTCGGCTCACTGCACCCTCCGCCTCCTGGGGTCAAGCGATTCTCCTGCCTCAGCCTCATGAGTAGCTGGGGTTACCAGAGCCTGCCACCACACCCGGCTAGTTTTTGTATTTTTAGTAGAGACAGGGTTTCATCATGTTGGCCAGGCTGGTCTCGAACTCTTGACCTCAAGTGATCCACTCGCCTTGGCCTCCCAAAGTGCTGGGATTACAGGCGTGAGCCACTGCACACAGCCCTCTTTCTACTTTTTAATCCTTTTAGAAGTTCTTACTCTCAACTAATTCTTCTTCTACATTCTTTAAATTGTTTCACTTTAGTTGAACACTATTAAGGATTAGAGCAGTCTAAGATGGGAAAACTAGTTATGTTAGAGAGGATTGGTGAATCATGATTATGGCCTTCAAACAGCTGAGAAGCTATCACTATCATGTTAAAGAAGGAATAGATGCATTTTTTCTTATGTCAGGTAACATCAGTTGGTGAGAGTACTTCAAAAAGATTTTGACTCAGTGTAAGGAAAAAGAAAGTTTCTAAATGATTTAGATCTTTCAACAACAGAATGAAATAATCTCTCAGCCTTCTCTTAGAATCATTTTTATTTTTTTCTTTTATGTCTTAGAGTTAAGTTCTACTGAAGAAGATTACATAACTGTTTCCATTTCCTCCCTTAAGGATTTTGAGTAAGATATTATGGAAGCATAGGGAAGGACCACTCTTAGTCTAGGGGAATAAGGTGTCAGAAAACATTCCTAAAAAGAGATGACACTTTAAAATGTGTAAATGTTAACCTGGTAATGGGAGAAACGGAGGTGAGATTAAAGAGGAGAATGTCCACAGAAGGAACAGTATACTTAAAAGCAGATAAATGAGTTTGAATGGACCTGACTTATTTGGGGAGCTGTAAACAGGTTGTTGAAACTAGAGCACTCTTAAGGACATAGATGAGCATTTGGTAAGTCAGATGGAAATTCAGTTATTATTCTGAATGTGATGAGAAGTCAAGTGGAGTAACATGCTATATAAATTCTGGTACTTTCGGGAAAATGATTTGAAGTGGACAACAAGCGAAGTCAGGGAGAGCAGTTATGAAGGTATTGCAGTAGTCTGGGCAAGAAATGATAAGGATTCATTGTAGTAAGTGTGGGAAAGTGTTGCGGTTCAGAATCACAAGAGGTACATGGTTTTTTGTTTGTTTGTTTGAGTCAAGGTCTTGCTGTGTCACCCAGGCTGGAGTGCAGTGGAATGGTCATGGCTCACTGCAGCCTTGACCTCCTGGGCTCAAGTGATCCTCCCACCTTGGTTGTTATTGATGCAGAGGATTTTCCTTTATGGAAGTCCAGATGATTACACAAAGAGGTTGCTACAAGGTGACATTAACCTTAGTTTGGAATCTATATTCCAGTAATCCAGGCTCAGGAAACCGCATTATTGATAGGTTAAAAATGCAACAGTGCAATAATTGATAGGTTACATCTCTTGGAGAATACCAATTTTTAAGATGACAATGAAAAACATGAGAGTGCCTAATAGTGTTCTTGGCTAGTAAATTTTTTTTTTTTTTCCTGTAGGCTGCTTTGTTTTCTGGACATGATTTAGGTTCTACCCTTCGGATGCACTTTGATTTGGAAGTGAACCACCTGGAGAGAGAGGAAGGCTGTGGGCTTAGATTATGAGAAAAGTAGAATGGTTCTGAGCTAGTAGTTTGTGGGGCAGCTTTCTCATTTAGCAGTGGCTTTCTAATTCTGCAGCTTCTACAGGAGCTTCCTGGCTTGCCAGCTTCCTACAATGATGGTACCAGCTTTTGTGATTATGGCTGAGGCAGAGTGGTTCTGTGGGCTAGGAGTTGTTTCTAGGAGTTCAGTCACTCTGAACTCTGCCTCTCTACTTTTTCCAATGATTTTGTGAGCATCTGATTCTTATCTTAAACCCCCTTTTTGCTTAAACTACCTGGAGTGGATTCTGATCCTGGACCATTAAATTGGTGTAAAACTGTTTTGGGCAACAAATCCTCAAGGAATCTAGAAGGGTCGCTGGTAACCAGTTCATGGCACCTACTGTTTTTGATCTGTGGTTACCTGGGATGAAGTACCTGTTGAAGGCAAAGCTTTGCTGAACTAATGGATGATCCATTTAGGAAAGTAAAGATATGAGAGGACTGGCTGTTTTTGTTTGTTTGTTTGTTTTTTGTTTTAGACGGAGTCTTGCTCTGTCGCCCAGGCTGGAGTGCAGTGGTGCTATCTCGGCTCACTGCAACCTCCACCTCCCAGGTTAAAGCGATTATCTTGCCTTAGCCTCCTGAGTAGCTGGGACTACAGGTGTGTGCCACCACGCTTGACTAATTTTTTGTATTTTTAGTAGAGACGGGGTTTCACCGTGTTAGCCAGGATGGTCTGGATCTTCTGACCTCATGATCCGCCTGCCTCGGACTCCCAAAGTGTTGGGATTACAGGTGTGAGCCACCGTACCTGGCCAATTGGCTGTTTTTAACTCCACTGTAGAGTTTAAAGCAGTGGTTCTCAACCTGGGGTGATTTTGCTCTCCAAGGCATATTTGGAAATGTCTGGTAGCATTTTTAGTTATCAGAACTGGGGGAGCAGGGTGCTACTGGTATCTAGTGAGTAGAGACCAAGAATGCTGCTGCACAGGATTGTCCCCTCCCCACCACGACAACAAAGAGTTACCTGGCCCAAAATGTCGATAGTGTTTAGTTTGAGAAATTCTGGTTTAAAGTAAATTTAAACCACAGGGCTAAATTTTTAAATCTTGGCTGAAGTTATGGTTAGAGTACTAAGGAATTTGGTGATTGGCTTAAAGGAGTCTTTTATGTCTTACGACTCCAGGACTGTTATAGTCTAAGGTACGGAGTCTGATCCAACAAGTTATTAAACTGTGTTCAGTGCAGAGTGAACTCAGAGCTTCATCAGATTTCATAGGTGTAAACTGGGTTATTGATTTGGAAAGAGCAAGATTCCAGGAATTGGAATCATGACATGGAACCATTTGAATGACTCCAGGTATTCTTAACCTGTGGTTTGTACTGAGCCTCCCTTGCCAGCAGAAGTAACCCCTCTTCCTTTGAGTGATCCTTAAAGATGCTGTAATTACTTCAGCTTGTTGAGTGATAGCTGTTGAGTGATAGCTCATTCCCACTACCTTCTGACCTGTAGACCAGTAGCTAGAGTCAGATTCCAGGAAGTTCAAGGGGCCAACTTTATGATGAAAGACAAGTTTTATGCATCAAAAGAATTGCAAGAATTTTACTAGTTTATGTTAGCAAAAACCTATGCAATTGATATGAAATCAAATTCAAAGAGATGCTGGACCAGGAAAGGAGGAACCTAATTTTAGTTTGGGCTGAATCTATTAATGTAGATTCATCTATGAGAGATTTTAGATTTGGTTCTTGCTCAAGCAGCTAGGACTGGTTCTAATTGTCTGCTTGTTTGTTTGACTGAAATGTGGATTCGGTGGTGACCTCCATTGGGTAAAGTTGAGATGGCAAACTTGGGGAGTTAGGAATGTTGAGGTGGACTTATTTTGTGCAGCTGGCTTCCTTACTCTGTAAGTACATCCCCCAAGATAGGTGTTCTCTACTACCTTTAAGAAAATACAACAGTGACAGAAACGCTGGCATCCTTAAAAAGTACTCTAGTGGCTGTCTTCTCTGGCCTTGGCATGAATGTAAGAGATGCTGCTACAAAATGAGCTTTCTTCTATAGTGGAATCCTGGAATGGCAGAGGCAAGTAACAGAACTTTTTTTTTTTTTGGAGACAAAGTCTCGCTCTGTTGCCAAGCTGAAGTGCAGTGATGGGATCTCAGCTCCCTGCAACCTCTGCCACCCAGGTTCAAGCAATTCTCCTGCTTCAGCATCCCGAATAGCTGGGACTACAGGCACATGCCACCACGCCCAGCTAATTTTTGTATTTTTAGTAGAGATGGGGTTTCACCATGTTGGCCAGGATGGTCTCGATCTGTTGACCTTGTGATCTGCCTGCCTTGGCATCCCAAAGTTCTGGGATTACAGGCGTGAGCCAGCGTGCCCGACCGCAAGTAACAGAACATAACCATCAGACACAAGATAGGCTTGCTTAATATAGTATGCAAATTGATTAAGGGGTTCCTAGGACTGATGTGGAAGAGTAGCTCACTAAGGTCTTGATCTAGATACTGGAACTAAACAAATGAAAACAGAACACTTTAGGTCTAATGAATGTAGGATTGATTTTAGGTCTCCATAATGTCTAATACCTATAGCTTTATTACTTTACAGATCTAGAACTCCTTGAAGAAAAAAGAGGCAGCATACCTTCCTTTATGGAAGGACCTTGTGATAATATCATGGGTAAGCACAATTAATTTTCTTCATAGCCTTCCCTAAAGAAAGGGGTCTTTTGTTATTTACAAGCATAACTGTTCATCAGAAGGCAAATACTCAAACCTTTCAGGAGTTATTGGAACCTGAGCTAATGATAATTCCCAGTGACTGAGGATACCATTGTGCTCCATGAGGCAGATGGGAGCTTATGGAAATCAGGCATGGAATGGAGCTTTGACTTGAAATTATTTCACAATCCACGAATTCGTACTGTGATTATATCTGGTTTCTTACTGCATGTTTGGAATAAATATGCTCAACAAATGGAAGAATCCCCAAATTAATTCCCATATCCATGAGTTAATGAACTTTATGGTAGGAAGAGCCAAGTGTAACCCCCCGAAGTTCTTTTTACCAAAGCAGTCTTACATCCTGAATCTGAGATTAGTGCCATATTAAAGACTTGAAAGGTTCAGCCTGCTGACTCTTGTTTTACCTATGCAGAAGATAGATACCTTTTGGAGAATGATGATGTATTATCATAAGCTTCTTCTACCCCTCCAGTTGTATCTTTTTTTCCACATGTTCTTTTCTAGAAACAGAACCTGGCACTTGGTAGTTAACTATTGATCTATCAACTGCCTTACTGAATCTAATTAACAGAGAACATCAGAAATACCCAGCAATGCAGTACACTGTCATCATATTGCCTCCATGGTTAGGTCAGCATTTTGGCTCTGTAGAGATTTTGTTCATCTCACTGTCTCACAGTACATCATCCTGGTCCCCTATAGTGATGACATCATGCTGATTGATAGGACATTATGATAGTGAACTAGCAGGCAGCTTAGATCCTTTGTTAAGATGCTAAAGACACAGCTGATGATGGGACATGAAGTCCATAAAAAATTGGAGGACTTGACACCTTAGTGAAGTTTCTGAGGTAACAGTATTTTGGGATATATTGGGATGTCCTTTCTGAAGTGGAAGATAAACTACTGCATCTTATATTCATTGCTACCAAAAAGAAGTACAGTAACTGGTGGGTCTCTCTGGGTTTGAAGTCAGGATATACTAAATTTTAAGTGTACTGCTCCAGCCTCTTGACTCAACAATCCATAAAGACTGCCATCTGGTTGCTATGTGGAATTTGTGGCAGGCTCTGACAGGAGGAGAATCACAGTGAAGGATCCTTCATTTTAGAGCTAACTGTATCTTCTCTGAAAAAGCTACTGGCTTTGTTGTTATATGTGATAGAGAACAAATTTCTAAATACTGGATACCAGTGACATGAGCATGCATAGCAGTATTACATCATCAAATAGAAGCCATATACCTGGGATTGGGCAAAATGGAAGTACTGAAAACACATGTACATTGAGCAAGCAAGAGGCTCTTTTTTTAAAATTTTTTTATTTTTTTATTTTTTAGAGTCAGAGTCTTGCTCTTGTCGCCCAGGCTGGAGGGCAGTAGTGCGATCTCAGCTCACTGCAACCTCTGCCTGCCAGGTTCAAACGATTCTCCTGCCTTAGCCTCCCAAGTAGCTGGGATTACAGGCACATGCCACCACATCCGGCTAATTTTTGTACTTTTAGCAGAGACGGGGTTTCACCATGTTGGCCAGGCTGGTTTCGAACTCCTGATCTCAGGTGATCCACCTCCCTTGGCCTCCCAAAGTGCTGAGATTACAGGTGTGAGCCACCGCGCCTGGCCACAAGAGGCTCTTTCTATACTGTGATTCCTTTCACAACCCCACATCCATGGTTTTATTCCTGGGCAGTCTGCTGTGTTCTTGGTTAACAGATGGTTCTACATGATGTGTTGGCACCTTATCAGACTAAGAGCAGACTCTGGTAGAAATGGCCAGTTGCCTCCTAATACTATTTTTTCTCCTTTAGAAATAAAACTCTTGTTTTTTAGCAGGGCAATTGTCTAAGAGACTGAGAGACTCCCTTGCTGTTGGGTGTAGTCATGTGACAAGGCTTTGGCAAGTGATATGTAAGTGAAATTGTTCTTCCAGAAATTCTCCTTAAAATATTCTATACCTTCCTCCTTCTTCTCTTCCTTCTTCTTCTCTCCCTCCTCCTTTCTTCTTCTTCTCCTCTTCTTCCTTTTCTTCTTTTTTTCTTGTGCAGGGAGCATAGGGTCTTGCTCTGTTGCCCAGGCTGGAGTGCAGCAGGGCAATTTTGGCTCACTGCAGCCTTGACCTTGTAGGCTCAAGCAATTCTGCCACCTCAGCCTCCTGAGTAGCTGGGACCACAGGTGTGTGCCACCACACCCAGCTAATTTTTGTAGAGATGGGGTTTTGCCATGTTGCCCAGGCTGGACTGGAACTCCTGGGTTCAAGTGATCCTCCTGCCTCAGCCTCCCAAAGTGCTTGGGATTACAGGCATGAGCGACTGTGCCCAGCTTCCTTCCTTCCTTCTTGATTTCTACTTGAAACAGGGATGTGATGTTTGGAGCTCCAGCAGACATATTAAACCATGAGAACAAGGGTCTAAACCTGTAGATGGTGGAGTGATGAACCTGAAGAAGCTGGATCTTTGAGACCTTAGATCTAACATTAATCCTGAATGTTGTCTTTGAGACATCTTTTATATGAAAGGAAATGCACTTTTATCTTGTTTAAGCTATTAATGTTTTAGGTTTTCTGTCATATGCAGAGGAACATATTCCTAATGGAGACACTGAATGCTTAGATGGATAACGTGCCATTCTCTGAGATACAGAATGGAGGGAGAGAAGATACAGATTTTGTAGAAATAATAGAAAAATCCCAATTTGGTCATGATTCATTTGCTGTGTTTATAGAAATGCTTAATAGGGGGTACAAACAGCATTGGGATTTTGAGAAATACTCTGTTTTATCTGTTAGGAGAAGGAAATGATTGTCTTCAGGAGATTGAAATGTTAAGGAAAACAGCTGGTAGTAAAGTATATTATAACCAGCCTCATAACTTGTTTGGACAGATAAACAACCTGTAATTCTTTTTGCAGGATAGGAAGTTTGCATTTGAGAAGAGTTGAGCAGAAAACACATGGCTTGGATTATCTGTGGTGTAGATGCTCCAAGGTGAACTTTGAGTTGCAGATCGGAAGTTAGAGATGGGAAAAAAACAGAAATTTGTGGAGAGGAGAGCATTGTACGCAGGGGACATGTTTAAACTGTATTTGGGAAGAAGAAATTTGTCACCTGTATTTCTGTAACGAGAAAGGCCTCATTGATTTTGAAGGCACAGGTTGCTGGAGAACTAAGGATTTTTGTATCTTCTCGTTTATTGACTTAGGGTTAGGGAATACATTGATAGGGACACATTGAATGAGTTTTAATGAGAAATTTATGTGTATCATGTCCATTATGCAACAGATACGAATTTCTCGTTTAAGGAAGATTAACATAATAACCTTTGCTGTTTTTCTTTTCTTTTTTTTTTTTTTTTTGAGACAGAGTCTCACTCTGTTGCCCAGGCTGGAGTGCAGTGGCCGGATCTCGGCTCACTGCAAGCCCCGCCTCCCGGGTTTACGCCATTCTCCCGCCTCAGCCTCCCGAGTACCTGGGACTACAGGCGCCCGCCACCTCGCCTGGCTAGTTTTTTTGGTATTTTTTTAGTAGAGACGGGGTTTCACCGTGTTAGCCAGGATGGTCTTGATCTCCTGACCTAGTGAGCCGCCCATCTCGGCCTCCTAAAGTGCTGGGATTACAGGCTTGAGCCACCGCGCCCGGCCTTGTTTTTCAATCAATAACTTTCCTCCCTAGTTTAAAAAGGTTGTATTTAAAAAATCTATGCTAAAACTAAGCACTTGCTATATACTAGTCTTATCTTCAATTGGAAGAAAATGTAAATATAACTTAAACATAGTGAAAGTGATAGTTAAGTCATAGTAGAGAATTGCGTTTTAAATTTTCAGTTGTCTTTTTATTCTGAAAGGATCAATGTGTTATAGATACTACCAATATATTAATGTTTTTAAAGCTGGTTCCAAGAAATTTGTCTGAAATTTTAATGTGGCAGTGTTTTCTCTGCTGAATTATCAAGGGAGACTAAATATTCTGTGGTACAATGGTAATACATTTTTATAATACATTGATAGGCGTAGATAATACTGCAGAAATTGCCAAAAAACAGCTTCTTTTTTTTTCTCCCTTCTGTCCCTCCACCTATGTTCTTTCCTGCCCCACGTCTCTGCCACCTCCTTCAACCCCTCATTTGTTGTAAACTTACTTTCTCAGAATTATATAATAAGCATGTCTTTGTAAATTTTCAGTTTGTTTCATGATAACTGTAACTAGTTCAGAAAGAGGTTTCTCATTCTACATCATACAAAATAAAAGTGTTTATGAAGTAGCCGGGAGTTCTTTGCCAGCAGACAAGTTATTGAGGCTTAGTTTAAATTGGCATAATTTAAACTGGTGTAGTTTTCTTAACAAGGTAATCTATCTTGGAGGAGATTTTGGTCTGCTTTTCAGATCAGCAGTATTAGTGTTATGCCATCTAGTGGCAGATGTATGTATTTCACTTTTTTTGTTGGTTTACCATGCCTAGAAGTTTAGAGCCAGGAGGGACCTAAGATTACTTTACAGGTGGGAGACCAAGGCTCAGAGAAGTTAGAGGATTTGCTTAAGGTCACCACTTAGTGACAGAGCTAAGATAAGCCTCAGGTCTCCTGATTACCAATGTAGTATTCTTTTCAAAACATGGCAGTGTTTTTTTTGAGGACTCTGTTAGATTAGTTTGAGGATATCAACCATGGGAAGGTATTTATATTTTAGGTTTTTTTTGTTTATTCATAATTACTGTTGATAGCTTTAATGTAGTGGTGTTTTAATAGGCCCTTGTACTCAGAAGATAAGGGAAATGGATATCATATTCACCTTTGATAAAACACAGTTTTCTTTAAGTAGTTAAATAACTGCTTGTGAGAGAGGGTTGAGCTTGTTTTCGATTTGTTACAGTGAGAACAATATTAATTATTGTGTCTTTGGGCTTGCCCTTGTGTGATGTATTTTTTTCTCATAGAAAAGGAAA